GAATGCCTGCTACCTCCTTCTGTCCGGGCCAGTGTGCAAACACTTTACTTTCCTGAGTCTCGGTTCCCATTTGCAAAGTGGGGCTAAACTCTCCTGCTCTGCCTGCTTCCTGTTAGGGGAGGACCTTTTGTAGTGGCAAAGCCTCACCTACATCATACTGAACAGCACCTCAATATAGAAGAGCTCTCCTCCCTAAGACCTGCTAGATCCTCAGCACAGCCCAGCGAGGTAGGAGCCTGCTCCTACTACATGGAGAAAACGGAAGTCAGGTGACTTGCTCCAGGTCAGCCACCCACAGGAGGCGGGGCTGGGCCTCCACGGGAGCCCATCACTCATTCCATGCCAAGCATGTATGCTGTTTTCACGCCTCTAGCTTCTGAACACCAGGCCAAGGAGACCTGCCATCCTGCTGGTTGCCAGAGTGGCCGCTAGGTGAGGAGGGGCCGCAGTGGCATCATCTGCCCGCCTCTCCAGGGACGGGTTCAAACAGAGTGTCTGGGAAGAGTGTCTTGACTGGCTGAGCAGACAGGAGCTGAAGGACTGCAGGAGCCCTTGAGGCTCTGGGTGCGTAAATAATCCCAGTTCTGGGGCTCTGGGCCCCAGCTCAACAAGGCAGAGTGTGTGCTGTGCAATCAAAGACAGGATGTACTTGGGGGAGGCTGCACCGTGGCTGTTGTGAAGCGGAAGCGAAATTAATTTTAAGCCTGGAGTTGATTCTAGCCTGGGAGGGGAACGCCAACGCCTGAAGAGGGCTGGTTGAGGCACTGCCCACTGCTGCCTGAGCTTGGCGGGGAAATGCATCCCCACAGATCTTCCCCCCGTTAGCATCCAAAGCTCACTCCCACATCCTGGCACCAGAAGCAGCCCTGGGCCCCTCATCTCCCCTGGAAAGCCTTGGGGGTACCTTCTACTGAGCCAGAGCCTGGACCATTTCTCTGCCCATCTCCCCTCCCAGTGCTGCTCAGTGCCTGCTGGGGAGGGCAGGTCCAGCTCACAAGCT